GTGATGCTATGTGATGCTAGGTGATGCTATGTGATGCTATGTGATGCTATGTGATGCTATGTGATGCTATGTGATGCTATGTGATGCTATGTGATGCTATGTGATGCTATGTGATGCTGGATGATGCTTAAACTTGATCTTAGCCTAGGAATTTACCGTAAAATATAAGTATAAGGATCATATATATAAAACTTTGCTCTGTTCATGAAAATCTTACTTACCTTGTTCAGCGTAATTAGTAGGATAGTAGTTGCGGCTGTATTTACTTATTTGGATCAGAATTATTTTTATAATTCCAATCATAAAATTCTAATTTTCCTTGCTATTGTTTAAATTACTATTCCTTCCTGTCTTTTGTTCCATTCACTCATTCTTCCTTCACGTTTGTATAACTATTTTTTCCTTCTATTTTTGTTTCCGCTCACATTTGTTTTCCCTCGAATTTGTTTTTACTCGAATTTGTTTTTCCTCTAATTTGTTTTTCCTCTAATTTGTTTTTCCTCTAATTTGTTTTTCCTCTAATTTGTTTTTCCTCTAATTTGTTTTTCCTCTTAAATTGTTTTCCCTCGAACGTTTTTCCTCTAATTCGTTTTCCCTCAAATGATTTTCCTCGAATTTGTTTTCCCTCTAATTTCTTTTTCCTAGAATTTGTTTTCCCTCGAATGTTTTTCCTCTAATTTGTTTTCCCTCGAATTTTTTTCCTCTAATCTGTTTTTCCTCGAATGTTTTTCCTCTAATTTGTTTTCCCTCGAATTTTTTTCCTCTAATTTGTTTTTCCTCTAATTTGTTTCCCCTCACATTCGTCCCCTCACATGTCACGGTGCAGCCGTCAACATCGAGGGCCTGTTCCCCGACACCCCGAGGGGCTGCTTGTTCGTGGCGGGGGCCCACTTCAGCCTGGTGAGGGTTCCCCTCACCTGGGAGGCCTCCACCCACCAGAGGGCAATGTCCTGTGTCCTCAGCCTCACTGCGCGCCTCCACAGCTGCAACGGTAAGGGATAATGCAGCGGGTAAATGTGGGGATGAATGTGGGAGTAGATGTGGGGTAAATGTTGGATGAACGTGGAGTAAATGTTGGGGGCAAATGTTTCGGTAAATGTAGGGTGAATGTGGGAGTAGATGTGGGGGTGAATGTGAGGGTAAATGTTGGGGCAAATGTTTCGGTAAATGTGGGGGTGAATGTGAGGGTAAATGTTGGGGCAAATGTTTCGGTAAATGTGGGGGTAAATGTGAGGGTAAATGTTGGGGCAAATGTTTCGGTAAATGTAGGGGTGAATGTGGGCCACGGTGATGGTAGATATTTGCTGGCTTACCACGCCTGACGCGTGTTGTTCACTGAACCCATCTTAACGTCAGCGGTGTGACTGGTTCACTGAACCCATTTAACTTCAGCGGTGTAACTGGTTCACTGAACCCATTTTAACGTTAGCGGTGTGACCGATTCACTGAATCCATTTTAACGTCAGCGGTGTGACTGGTTCATTGAACCCATTTTCCCCTCATCAGCCCTGATGGAGAGCCGCACCCCCACCCTGGACACCTCCCTCACTTGGGACTCTAGCCACCTGCTGCTGAGACTGGAGTGTCTAATTCAGGAGATACAAACCCTGCGAACTGAAAATCTGCATCGGTGAGATTTGCTGATAAAAATGATGACAATAACACTAATATTAATAGGAATAATAAATATTGTATTAATAATAATTATTATAATGATGTATTGGTATCAGTGCAGAAGATTAGGTCGCTAGGCCTGTTAGTGAAGGGGAGTTTATGGCGGAGTTGGTTGAGGGGGATGGTCATGGGGGAATTTGGTAAAGGGGGAGAAGCTTTTATACCTGTTACCTTGTGAAGATTTAAAACAACTGATGACTTCTCACAATGAACAGTATTCTAATTTTTTGCTGCTTCAAACGCAGTTTTTGTCAACGAATATCAATGTTTTTCATAGAATCTCAAAGCAAAACATTATACATTCGATCAAAATGAATATTCGCTGACTGTTGATGGCTAGTTGCAATAACTGTTGTCGGTGCACAGCCATATCATATATTATTTCCGTGTTCAGGCACCTGGATGCTGTACCAAACGACTACACGATGTACAGCTCTGTGTTGCACAGCATCGTGTCACACAGCGTCGTGGTCCACAGCATGAAGGCCCGAGCTGTGCGGTACCAGCAGCTGCAGTACGCGTGTGTGGACCAAATCCCCCGATATCCGGCGAAGACGTGCCACGTGCGGCCCGTCTGGCATAGCGAGGACCTCATGCGACGGGTGTGACTCTGGGGGAAATTGGGGGGAGGAAAGCCTCTTTAGTGAGTGGGGCCATGTGAGACTAGGGGTAATACGGCTGAACTTGTTATCCACTCATTAGATTAAGGGAGACTGATGAAATTTTGCGGAGTTCTAAGGGTACTCTCTAGATACTCTTGAGTAATTAGTGGGGACTTTGGGTTGGGACTCAGAAAGGACTCAGAGGGGACTCAAATTTGCCTAACACCTCTTTCCTATCCTCCCCTCAGCGCCGCATTTGTCACGAGCACGCGCTGCGGCAGCTGCAGGAGAGTCTGCCGTTCAACCTCCGCCATGTTCTTGGAAACCTCGCAGTCAGGGCCTCCATCGCCGACCAGATCATGGACTCCCTCAACGCCCTCGAAGGCGAGGTTAATTAACTAAGCTTGAGAATACCTGGGGTATAAGCTTGAGAGTACCTGGGGTAACCGGTTACCTATACGTAGTTATATTTGGGTACCGCCAACTGTCATGCTGGTCCGCCACCTTCGGCGCCTAGCATGCGACGCTTACGAAGATGCCGCGAAAAGTGAACTTGTAGCGAGGAGGTAGACTGGACCTACCTCTACCTCCAAAAATCTCGGTGCCGCTACCTTGCAATGGTAGCGACACCCACTATCCTCTACTTGCACCCCCCTTCCAACACCCCCTGGCACCCCTTCCAACACCCACTTGCACCCCCTTCCAACACCCAATTGTACCCCTCCCAACACCCACTTGTACCCCCTTCCAATTCCCACTTGCACTCCCTTTCAACACCCACTTGCACACCCTTCCAACACCCACTTGCACCCCCTTCCAACACCGACTTGTATCCCCCTTCCAACACCGACTTGCATCTCCTCCACCACACACTTGCAGCCCCTTCCAACACCCACTTGCACCCCCTCCCAACACCCACTTGCCCTCCGTTCCAACACCTACTTGCACTCCCTTCCAACACCCACTTGCCCTCCGTTCCAACACCCACTTGCACCCCCTTCCAACACCCACTTGCACCCTCTTCCAACACCCACTTGCACCCTCATCCAGCATTCCCCTGGCGCCTCCTTCCCCACTCTCATGCAACCCCTTTCATGACCCACTTTCATGACCCACTTTCTTGACCCTCTTTCTTGACCCTCTTTCTTGACCCACTTTCTTGACCCTTTTTCTTGACCCTCTTTCTTGACCCTCTTTCTTAACCCACTTTCTTTACCCTTTTTCTTGCCCCTTTTTCTTGCCCCTCTTTCTTGACCCTCTTTCTTGACCCTCTTTCTTGACCCTCTTTCTTGACCCTCTTTCTTGACCCTCTTTCTTGACCCTCTTTCTTGACCCTCTTTCTTGACCCTCTTTCTTGACCCTCTTTCTTGACCCTCTTTCTTGACCCTCTTTCTTGACCCTCTTTCTTGACCCTCTTTCTTGACCCTCTTTCTTGACCCTCTTTCTTGACCCTCTTTCTTGACCCTCTTTCTTGACCCTCTTTCTTGACCCTCTTTCTTGACCCTCTTTCTTGACCCTCTTTCTTGACCCTCTTTCTTGACCCTCTTTCTTGACCCTCTTTCTTGACCCTCTTTCTTGACCCTCTTTCTTGACCCTCTTTCTTGACCCTCTTTCTTGACCCTCTTTCTTGACCCTCTTTCTTGACCCTCTTTCTTGACCCTCTNTTTCTTGACACACTTTCTTGACACACTTTCTTGACACACTTTCTTGACACACTTTCTTGACACACTTTCTTGACACACTTTCTTGACACACTTTCTTGACACACTTTCTTGACACACTTTCTTGACACACTTTCTTGACACACTTTCTTGACACACTTTCTTGACACACTTTCTTGACCCATCTTCTTGACCCATCTTCTTGACCCACTTTATTGACCCACTTTATTGACCCACTTTATTGACCCACTTTATTGACCCACTTTCTTGACCCACTTTTTTACCCACTTTCACTCCCCCGCAGTCCAACTCGGTGTGGGTGCAGCGGCTGCTGCGGACGATGGTCTGGGTGGCTCAGACGTGGCACCCGTCACCCGACAGCCTACAAGACGACGGCGGCGACACGTCGGGACAACGTACGGCCACCGACGCGCGGAAGACGTCCACGTCCACGACGTGCGCGCAGCCGCTGACGTACTCGATGGACGGGCTGGAGTTCAGGTCGCTGGTGCACCTACGTCTGCCCTTCGCTTCGACGTTCATGCCCGTAACGGGCCTCTTCCTGTACGGGCTCTCCCTGTGCTGCTTCAGGCTGATGAAGTACGTCCTAGGAAAAGGGGTGGGAAGGGGGAGCATAAAGGGGGAGGATGAAGGGGGTCTTCACGTGTTGGTTAATATTCAGGTACTCTTCATATTCAGCGGGCAATCTTACTCTCCATCATTAAATATATCTATGAGTATAAATTTATCATCTGAGATCCCAAAATTTATTCCCCCAATTTAATCCCCCAATTTAATCCCCCAATTTAATCCCCCAGTTTATTCCCCCAATTTATTCCCCCAATTTATTCCCCCAATTTTATCCCCAAAAACCAATACCTAAACTTTTTCTCATAAGTTAATCCAAAATTCTTTACCCTAAATACTACCCAAATTTATCCCCACCTTCCCCCCCCCCTCCTCAGTATCCTAGATGACGTGGTCCTGAAGAAGCAGGCGATGAGCTGCGCCGGCGCGGCGCTGAACCTCGCAGCGCCGCTGCTGCGCCGCCGCTGCGTCGCCGTCTGCGTCGTCCACGCCTTCGTCACCGAGGCCAGGCTCTACCATCGTCACGCCGTCGCTGGTGCGTGGAATTAGTTATTACCTTCGTCTTGATATCGTCATTATATGCAGAAGCTGATGGGCTATTAGTTTAGTCGTGATACCATCATTATGATATACCTTTATTTCATCTCCATACACCATCCTCCATCTCCATGCACTATCCTTTTATCTTCATACGCCATCCAGTTATCCCCACACACTATCCTTCCATCCTTGACTCCTTCTTTTCATCCCTATCACTATTCCTCGATCCCCCATCATCTCCCAATTCCTTGCCACCATCCTATTATCTCCGTCAGCCATTTTACAATCTCTTTCCACAATCCATCCACTTCTTATAATCACCCTTCTAATTTTTTTACCCCATCGTTTCATTTCTTAACACCATCCTTTCATCCTCTTACACCATCCCTCTATCTCCGTACACCATCCCTCTATCTCCGTATACTAATCCTCTATCCTCTACTAACTTCCGTCCTCTTCCTTCCACCTCTCAGGCATGGGGACTTACCGTCCTGGTGTACAAGCGGGCAACCCTCCCAGTGCCGACGAGGTTAGTCTGAAATCGAAGTTGATTCGGCAGCGCCTGACGGGAATCTTCATGGTGATGCAGAAACTGTCGTACCTCCTACCTCTGCTCTACGAGCACTGCGTCGATCTCAACACCGTCGATGGACCCAAAAATTGTGGGTACACTATAGGTGGTGATGAATTTGTTTGTTGTGCGGGTGATGATGGTAGTCGAAGTGGTGGAGAGACTGCTAGGGTTGCTGTATTCTCGAAACTGAGACGTGCAGTCGAGACGCGCGAGTACCAAATCGACATGGAATAATTTAGAATGAGGTACTCAGTTGGTCTAGTATGTTTCCACGGTTAAGAAGCTCCTGTTGGGTTTCAGCCATAAAATTCAAGAAGAGCGAAGCGAAGGCAGATTATGAGGTCGGTAGTCTTGGCGTGTGGTAAACAGGTTGGAACTCAATTTCAGATTTTTCGAAAGAATATATAGAGTGATGAAAGGCTGTTGCAACTCCAAGCGGGTAGGTGTATTCTTGTTTCGTAGGTGTAAAAAGTGAAAGGATGGCTTCATCACTTGCACGTAACCAGTGCTGAAGAGAGCGAGTGTGATCTGTAATAGAATCAGGCAATTGTTTGCTCCAATGTATCAGCGAAACCAACGGACCAAGTTCCTGTGTACGTTCGAGATAGCAACAACGGGCATGAGAAGAACATTTATAGAACAAGCAATGAGAACAATGGGATCTCGAACGTTTAGGGGAAGTTCAGCGCGACTGCAATGTGTAACTATCGCAGTAAAGGTATGTTAAGCATTCAAGTCCTCTCGTGCCCGGATAGCTCAAAAGAAGCCACGTCATGTCACATGTTCCGAAGTCCTTGGGATTCTCACAGCCACAAGAACTCTCCTCAACAAAGGGCTAGTGGAATGAAAGAAGCTTCTCTCCGTGGTATTTTTTAATGTAATCTCTCGCAAGATAGGAAATGCTCTGTATTGCAACCATGGAACAGTAAACAAAAACTGCCTCCTTTTGTCGGTGGCAATTCTTGAAACTCTTTTTTAGCAGAAATATCTAAAGAAGTAAAGGAAAGTTGTAGTCGTGGCTGTAGGTGATAGTGATGATCATAAAGTTTGTAATGGTGGTAATTTTTTATAAGTTGTAATACTGAGCCAGTTGAGATGTTTCAATGGCTGTTTTGATGGTAATAGTGTTGGTGGTTATTTTGGACATTCATCACGAATCACCTCATCTGCAGGTCCTAGTCCCACAGTCCTCTGCGCTCCCTCAGTCCACTCTTTTCCCTTAATCCTCCCACATCCTGATCTCCTTCCTCATCCAAAATTTTCCTCGTTCTCCGATCCTCTTTGGTTCACCAATCCACGCTAATCCCTCATTCCCCCGATCCTCGCCATCCCCAAGTCATTCCTACCTTGCGCAGCCCTCCCTATTCTCCTCCCATTTTTCTACTACAGTCAAGGCAGCGTGTGTGGAGACCTGGGCGTTTGTGATGCCCCCGCGCGTCTTCCCAACGAAGAACGAAGCTGAGAGGAAGGGCATCCAGCAGACGATGATCCTCCTAGCGAACAGCCTCGGCATCAAACCTGGACAAGTTTTCTTCGGCCTCGGCGACACTGATAGAGAAGTAAAATACACGGTTTTGACCAGTTTCCTTGACGGGTACGTCTGGGGGAAACATCATGAAATTGATATTATAACCAACGAAGATGAAGAGACGTTCGAACCTCCGATGGTTAGCGGCGACGATGAGGTACCAAGCACTTCGACTAACACCTACGACGCGCCTGACCTCGAAATAGACGATTTCTACTTGACCTCCGAGAAGAAGGCACTTGTCACCATGTTGCTTACAAAAAGTCAATTGGATGAAATTTTTACGCATTTTGAAGGGGAAGACCCGTGGGGAGAAGACCTCACACTAGACCAACACCTGAAGAAGCTGAGGAACTGGTTGGGGCAGCTGGTGCAGAACGTAATAGTGGACCTGAGGTTCCTGAAGCAACACCCAGAGACCTGTTCGCATTTCTGCTTCCAGTATGTGAAGTGAGTAACAAGTCTACTTTGTGTGACTCTACCCAGAAAATTAACTCTGTACCATAAATGAAAACCATCTATAAAAATTAAATCGCTGCATGGTGATTATATTAAATCATTCATGTGTAGCTATGTACTTGATAAATCAATCCCGTTTATAAATTGCCTCTTTTTATAAAATTAACAAGCATGCGGTCCTTTCAATTTTCATCTTTGTTAAAATTAAACCTCGTGTCATCTCGCTCATAGCGGTATAATAAGCCCGGTATGAAATATTAAATTCTTCTGTACTCTAATTCCGGAATTCCTAGTCATGTGATATTCCTAATGCGATCAATTTTTACACCTCCCCCCAAACATGACCCATCTTCGTGTACCCCACAGGCGTGGCGAGCGGATAAACGAGGAGGTGTCGGTGGGGTACCTACTGCAGGAATTCGAGCAGCTGGGCAGAAGGTTCCAGGACCCAGAAAGCTACGTGGCTCTCTTCGTGACCAAGACCCTGTATATTCTCGACTCCCTCGTCAACGGCGGACTGATGAAAAATACTCTTAGAGGAGACTTCGTCGCATGACGAGGCTGCATGCCACTACGAAGCATAAGATACGACGATGGCAACAGACACAACGATGGCTACAGACACGATGATGGCAACAGACACGATGACGCATTACGGTCACGATGATGAATGGCAGTCACGACAAAACAGTACGGTCACGCCGAAGCACTGCGGTCACGCCGAAGCACTGCGGTCACACGGAAGCGCTACGGTCACACGGAAGCGCTACGGTCACACGGAAGCGCTACGGTCACACGGAAGCGCTACGGTCACACGGAAGCGCTACGGTCGCGACGAAGCTTTTTTAATGAATTATATTCTTAGAATTATTTTAATACACGTCACTCGTCATTAAATATTCGTCCTACCAATTTCCCCCATGTTGCTTGGGAAATGGTTTGTTTTATTCCATGTAGGCAATATCCTTACGATGATTTTACCAAGATTTGTGTTGTTAATAAAGATGATTGAGGAGACTGGTGTTTAATGCTCTTTGTTCAATACAGTTCAGAGTAGGTTGCTAATTTATTATAGAAAATGCTCTTGCCATGAGTGGGAATGAGCAAGGAGCAAGAGCGCCGGAGCTAAGTTTAGCTATTTTGTGCAGCTTGAACTAAATAAGTGAGTTGTCGTGTGGGGTTAGGTACAGAGCTATGTGCGGACCCTAACAAAATTAGGGTAACTTTAGGCTTCGACCCAGGAGTCGCTACGCTCGGCTTGAAGATATTCGGGATCTGGGTGGCCACCCGATCGGAACAAGCTTCTGTTTATTTTCTCCTTTCTGACTTGATAGCTACCTGAGAGTATGAGAAAGGTTAGCCAAGCGTTTGCAAGATGCCAAGAGGCTGCCCTTTAAATATTGAGCCGAATCTGACATTGAGCGGCTATTTTATGCTTTCCCCGAGTCCCAGGCGGCGCCTGTTGCAGTGACGGACCCGCATCTAAATTTTGATAAGGTAGTTGGCTTGTGGGGTTATGTGGGATGCCATTAACAGAGTAGGTGTGTGGGCTGCATATGAAGGATTTCCCCAACAAACGAGGCTTACCCTCTCTTTTTCCCTTCTTGGCCTCCGTCTTCTGAATCTCGCCCCTACCATAACATAACATAGTGATGTCGGCGCTGAAGTGTAGGCCTGATGTGGCCTGTCGCCGATTCTTTTACTTATCGTGCCTTGTTCACAGAAGATATAAAATCGTGTCAGTTGACCGGATCTTTTCATGACTGACGATAGTTTGAAATAGCTACTCGACTTCCACCGGGTTCGATATGGTGCTAAGCATTTCAAATCTGAACATATATTTTTCCATAGCTTTATCTGGTGTGTTCTTGAACCCATACTGGGTTGTACAGAACGCTCGTCCTATCTGAGGACGCATACAAACTAGCAAAATAGGTGAAACAACTATTATTAATAGACGTCATTTCAACGTCACGTCTATTCAACGGTGATTCAACGTCAGAGGCCTAGTACGCTGATATTTTATACCACTATTACCTATTTACTAGAGCAAGAGTCAAAACCTGGAATTTTATTTCCTGAAACGTAAAATAGATTTTTTTCTGATAGATATTGGCATGGGGCTAAGATAAATTTTATGGGAATAATTCTTATTACGACAGAAATAATATTTAAATCTCAAATTTATGTGTATTGAACGCGATTATTTGAAATGAATTCTCTATTTTTCTTCTATATTTAATTTATATGTTTTAGTGGACGGTGTTTTTGTAGGCCGTTTTAAATAAGTAAATTTTGACGGGACGCATATATATATTTACATATTTCTGTCGATTCCCCGCCAATGATTTTCGTACAAATTTTCAATGCAGTGAAATTAACAGATTTTCCCTAGAAAAACCGATTAACCATTCCCATCTATTAAAATTAAATCATCCCGCCAGATGGCATGACGCATTCCAACAATGTGCCGAGTGAAGCAGTTCGCTCACTGTCACTTTTAGACTGTAATTACATGCAGTAAAACTAAGAGGTGTCAGGACCGCAGTTTCGCACATTACCGAAGCTCTGTATCGTGAGGTAAGGTTCATTGTTGCTGAACGTTCCACGTGCATCGTAAATTTGTATTGCATAGTTTCCTCTGACAAGTGTACTTTAATACCAGGGCTTTCGTTTACATAAAAGCAATAGTTTTAGGTTGTCAAATTTATGATTCTCGTCCTGATTTACGAGAGGCAATATGCCTGAGCAATCAACCTCGAATGTTCAAAGAAAAACGCATAATGCCTACTATATACAAGCACATAACATCTACATTTTCACGCCGTAGACATACATTTGCTGGTCAAAATAGGCGAATTGCATTGCTTCTCATGTTTGATCAGTAATAGGAGTGAAATTTTACATACGAACAAGGTTAATTACCAGTAAGTTGGTTCCACTGTAAGGGTGGAATCTAGGTGGAAATGCTTTAAATGTGTAGGGTGATATACCTTGTTCGAGTGGAAGATGAGAACCTGGACCACCCCATTAGAACTCTGCCGATATTTTCTGACCGAGCAAGAGACCAAACTGGATTGTGATGGTGGCGCAGGATATAAAATCGCTACATAGAGAATTTCCACGTATAGAATTATCACATATTGAATCGCCACATATATGATTTCCGTATATGAAATTGCCACATATGGAATCGTTACTTGAAAAATTGCAACATATGGTATCGCTACGTAAAAATTTAAACATGTGGAATGGGATTGTGAAAAATGTACAGGAGGTAGCTCAGGATGGCGGATAAGAGAAGATGAAACAGGAACAATAGCAGGAGGTGAAAAGGCGCTGGGTGCATAATCTAGCTTGCCCGGTATTTACACAGTAATTTTGGTGTCACTGAGGCGTATCCTTGCATATCTAGAAGTCATTAGGTAAGTGAATCGAGGGATTGAAAGTACAACCGGCCTTTTATTCCGCTCTGTACGGTTGTCAACCTTAACGATGCTAGCATGGTCATTAACCATCAAACTTTTTAGCGCATTTCCTCATTTATGGAAAAAAGGCACTATTGTGCTCGTCATGTCCGTCCGTCCGTCAGTCTGTCTGTCCGTGACTTCACGGACGGACAGACGAGAAAATGCGCTCTCTGTCGCTCACTGCAGTAAGTATTGATCTAATTTTTTCTTAGTATACCGTTCGTCAGTAGCCTGTCGCAGGCTTCGCAAAACCCAACCTACAAAGGTCTGGGTTCAGGGTTGATTACGGTAGTGGGGTTGATTACGGTATAGTGGGGTTGATTACGGTATAGTGGGGTTGATTACGGTAGTGGGGTTGATTACGGTAGTGGGGTCGATTACGGTAGTGGGGTTGATTACGGTAGTGGGGTTGATTACGGTAGTGGGGTCGATTACGGTAGTGGGGTTGATTACGGCAGTGGGGTTGATTACGGCGCACCACATTATGTTGCACATCTAACCACTAATTTCACGACAGCTTCCCTCCCGCCTCGACCACATGTGAACCAAGTTTCGTTCTAATCTTCTAATTTTTATATCATCACGAACTGCTCCCATATTAATACCATATCTATATTACCTCAACACACACAATAATATTAACTCAAATGAATCTTATAGCATTTCAGATTACCCAGGGATGAGTCAGGGCGCCGTAAGGAAGTTCATCGCCCGCCGTCGAAGTAGCGGGGAAGACCAAGACGAAATTCCCCTGCCTGGTCCCCCCCGACACAGTTATTTCTCGACCCTTCGAGCCAAGTTTCCCCATCTAGAATTCCCCAACGAAGTGGACACCCTCTTTGAGGATGACTTCTATTTGCCCCCGCGCTCCTGCTTCATGGGAGAGGCTGTACCCATTTTCAACGTTGACGAAAATGGCGTGAGGTATTACCAAAGACCAATAAGCGCTTTGGCTCCCGAGAGGGTGATGAAGATGGCGCGGCCCAACATGGATGACGATTTCTTGCAGCAAATCTCCAAGGAAGATGTCCGGGCTTACTCCAGGATTGTGCAGCATTCGCGCAGCAAGCCTTCCGAAGGTGGGTATCAATCAGGTAAATATTCAATTACCATGAAAATTATTTTATCATGTCTTGCGTACCCGCTATGTTAATTAGGACGAAATGAATGGCTTTGATATTTCGAAAGTAAGTGGAAAAAGCGTGAAAATTAGGTAACTGGATTCTTGACGTTTCAATTTTGTCTTCGTGTTAATTAAATTGATTCTGCATTTAAATCTTTTTTCAAATGCAATTTTTTTATTCTCATACGTGTCTTTGCTGATCTTCTAACAGTTTTTTAGTGCACAATTTGTTTCATTTTCACCAATCACAAATTTGTCGGCATAATATAATACGACTTCTTCGTTGCTTACTATCTGGTGAAGTAAGGTATTCAACCTTGCCCCGTCACCCAATGAGATGGTTAATTTGAAATTATTCAATTAATTTGCATTTTCTATTCTACTTGTATGTCATTAATAGTATTCAGGTATAAAGCAGGCTTCACCATCTTTATCATGAGCCGTTTCTCTATTTCTGCGGCCAAACAAAGCACGCTTAGTTACATGTAGTGACCAAAGTAAACGTTTCTCGTTTATGATTGGCGGATTTAGTTTGGGAAGCCATCAGTGATTGATGAATGGAATAACGGACTCGTAACTATTTTAGATTGTACTGCCTTTGAAGTTATAACGGATTATATATTAGAACTCTTAACAATTTTCTATTGTACGAAGTTATGGTAGCACTCGTTACTATTTTCTATAGCTATGTCCCTGGAGCGCCTGTTCAGCAACGGTATTCACATCTACGGGCTGGACTTCAAGAGGACGCCTCAGGAGTGGGTGCTAGACGAGGCCGAACGAGTCATCAATAGCGTCCGCGAGTGCTACATTGTGGACAAGCGGCACCTGGTGAGGGAAAGAGGGAACTGGTGAGGGAAAGAGAGAACTGGTGAGGGAAAGGGGAAACTGACATCTGGTGAGGGAAAGAGGGAACTGACAGCTGGTGAGGGAAAGAGGGAACTGACAGCTGGTGAGGGAAAGAGGAACTGACATCTGGTGAGGGAAGGGGGAAAGTAGCGAGGAAAAGAGGGAACTGACATCTGGTGAGGGAAAGAGGGAAACTAGCGAGGAAAAGAGAGAACTGAAATCTGGTGAGGGAAAGAGGGAACTGACATCCGGTGAGGGAAAGAGGGAACTGACAGCTGGTGAGGGAAAGAGGGAACTGACATCCGGTGAGGGAAAGAGGGAACTGGGAGGTAGTAACCACCTCCTGGTCAGGAATAAGATTATAGCCACCATTTATGGAAGAGGGACAACCACGAAATGGCAGGGTGAGGAAGACAAGTAACCGCCATCTTGACTGCACTTATTGTGTATCGCCACAAAACTTCCATAGCTGTCAATTCAAACAAATTCATTATTTACATTGAATCTGAGATCACAATTTCATAATTAACATTTTTCTTTACTACGCCTGTCTGCAACACTCTTCTAATCTGCAGTCGTGCAAAGCCTGACTGCACCACTGCTGGATTTTCATTTCATAATTACCATTTTCATTTTTTAGAATATTATGATCCTTTATGATTAATATTATGATCCTTTCCCCCCGGGAGGAGTCAGCGTACCTGTCGGTGGTGGCGTTGGCTCTCCGCGTCATGGTCGTGGGGCAGGGCTACACGCCCGCCGCCAGAGCCATCGCTGCCGCAGCCTTCCCCCAAGACCTGATGGGTGAGACTGACCCCATCAGGGCCTATACTTTCAAAAAAAGTTAAGAGATCGTAAGTTCATCAGCCAATCATTGACGGCCTATCAAGCAAAATCCACCAATCATAGACAAGAAAATAGAGCGTAAGTACTTACGTCCACTTAGCCAGTGTTGAAAGTATGGCCCGAAGAGTCTGATGTTGAAATAATGTTGAAATAAACAATGTCCAACAGTGTAAACTAGAATTAAACATTAATTAAATGACACTTGTCATGAAGATTGCGACATGATGGGTGAGACTGACCCATCAGGAGTCTGATGTTGAAATAATGTTGAATAAACAATTAATGTTCAAAAATTTAAACTAGAATTTCACTTTATTTAAATGACATTTGCCATGAAGATTCCGACATGCTGGGTGATACTGACTCCATCCGGCGTCTGATGCAGAAATAATGTTCAATTAAAATAGAAGTAAACTTTATTTAAATGACATTTGCTATGAAGATTCCGACCCGCAATGTTGATCTCGATTGAAGAAAAATTGCTATAAATTTCTAAACCTGTTATAAATATTAGTTAACCTCAATTGGTCGCGAACTTTGATCATTTTATTTTTAATTGTTTGTTTTATAACTTGGTATTTAAACGAGTTAACAACCTTTATTTACTTGTGTTAATCACAGGGCCTTGGGATGTTGTCCACAACGACGTCGTCGTGTGAGTACCGAGCGCTGAAGGTGATTATCCAGGTGGGGTGATAGCTTAATTTATTTAAGCTTAATTTATTTACCGTAATTTATTACACTATTTCCCCATTTCATCCTTTGCAACTCCCCACTTTGCGAATTGCCAATCCCCACTCTTCCACATCTCCACTCTCCCACATCCCCACTCTTCCACATCCCCACTCTTCCACATCTCCACTCTCCCACATCCCCACTCTCCCACATCCCCACTCTCCCACATCCCCACTCTCCCACATCCCCACTCTCCCACAAACTCTTCCTCCTTTTCTCTACTCTTCCTCCTTTTCTCCATTCTTCCTCCTTTTCTTCACTCTTTCTCCTTCTGCCCACTCTTCGTCCTTCTGCCCACTCCTCCTCCCTTTTCCCTTCTCTCAAAATTTCTCCCCCTCTCTCACCCACCCCTCTGCCCCTCTCCCCCTAGCACCCGCGGGTTCTACGCAGAACCTGTCACCTGTCAAAGAGCTCTGCACAACGTGCAGCTCACTCTCCACCACCTCACCCACGTCCCGGGCCAGTTCAAGGTGACGTTCAAGGCGGCCCGGGAGCAACGGGCCCTGCTGGTCCACCCAGACCGAGGGGTCACGCTCGACTGGGACATCAAGGTGGACTGGGGCGTCAAAGTTACAGGGTTCCCTGAGAAAACTCTCATCTTCAAACCTGCTTTTGCTCAATACTGCTTGAGGTAAGTAGCATATTTTAAGGGTGTGATCCTGCTTGGGGTTAGCAAGTTGCAAGGGTGTGATCCTGCTTAGGGTTAGTAAGTTGCAAGGGTGTGATCCTACTTGAGGTTAGTAAGGGTGCCATCCTACTTGAGGAAAGTAACTTGTAAGGATGTTATCCCACTTGAGGTAAGTAGGGTGCGATCAGGGCTCTAGAGAACCCGAGGTATGGAACTTTAACAAATCAAACTTATATAACATAATATAATATTATATAATTTAATACAATATAATATAATATAATATGTTTTAATTTATTATATAATAAATCAACAAAATGTATAATTGAATCTTTCCAGTTTCATGTATTAAAATCGTTTTTCACTCTTCAATAACTCGGCATTAACTTTATGAAATGATAATATCTATAGTATATTATAATACTTGCAATCATGTGGAAAATATGCACAACAAATTTTATATACAATATAGATACTAATAAAATAACGTAGATATTATATATTACGCATATCATTATGCTATTAATAATAAATAAAATAAAAATGTTTTAAAATAAAATAAAATATTAATATATTTTATATTTACTTATTTTATATTTCATTTTATTTATGTTATAATAAATAAAATAAATAATATGTGGTCAGGATCAGCTCCCCCAAAGGCCGACTCACCGCAGAGGCGCTCCAGGCTGCAGTCATCACCTTCGTCGTCTGCACGAACGCTGCGCTACTCAGACGCGAGTGAGCCCCTATATAATTTGTTAACTAGATGATGTTTTGAATTATTGTTACTTATAAAACACTTTAAATATTCGATAACGGGACTTTTTTTATGTTTAAAATTAAATGATTGATACAATCAGTAGTTTATATTTTCATCTAACTAGTTTAAAAGGATTTAGATATATTGTTAAATGACTAATATGAAACTAAACAAGATGAATTAATTTAGATATTTAATTTGCAATACATGAATTGAATGCGCTTAGATACCTCGTGTTATTACTGAAATTTGTTAATTTCAATGGTGTTCTGGGTAACTGTTAAGCTTTACACTGAAATAATATGTTAATAGGATTATTTTAACTCATTTTAATTAGGTTAACAGTTAATCCCAAAATTTTAAGAGACTTCTCTATTTACATTCACCCAATAAAATTTTATTGAGAGTAATTAAATACATGAAATTATTCAAGACATTTAGCCAAGTTGAACAACTTTAGTCTAAATGCATGTAATTGCAACTTGTTCTTGTGTGGACACTATTAGCTAAAGCTTGCATTTATTTTTCAATACTTTCCGATCCTGCGATCCTTTAATTAAATCCTTCTCATTCAACATCCACTTTTTCCTATTTTTAACTTCTCTTTTTCTTCCGTACATCTCCGTACTAACGTGAATTAAATTCTGATCTTTACCTTTAAATTTTAAAAATATAGTAAATATTTTTACTTAATAGTTGCGCTTTACTTGATTGCTCCGTACCTGTACTGAGAGAAATAAGCGACACTTTGGCCAAATAGCGAAGAACTTTTTGCAGGTCATCCTTGTCCAGTTTGGTACGATAAACGGGCGGATCAGTGCTACGTTCGCTATTAGTTCGTTCTCTTAGTTAGAATCAGTATTTAGGTGTGTCGCTATTTAGACAATTTAAGTCATAAATTTTTCTGTATGTGACCGTACGAACTGTGCAGCTACGGTCCCGCTTTGTATTTCGTACAAATGCTACGCCGCTGCATACGCTACTACTCATGGCTGCTGAACTACAAGCCTCTGCTGTCCTCCTACCTCTTTGCTGTCCATAAGCACCTGGAAGGACAGTGTCACTTCCACCTGGCCTCTAACTGGAAAGAGAAGAAAGGGGAATACAAGTTCCACTTTCACCGAGTCAGAGGACTCTTTCAGGACTTCGAGTTGGCGCTCCGACCTATAGAGAAGGAGTTCAGCGCCAGTGGCTGTGTGGCGGGTAAGTTACACTTAGTTCCTTAGTATTTGTTTGTTTGGGACATAGCAGTCCCAGGCCACGATGGATCGCCGCCTCTGATTATCGGTCATCCGCCCTCATTTGGGCCACCTGATGCAGTATGCTGTTGCTTGCTTCTCGCCGCTGGTAGTATTGCAGGGGAGGTCGATCTGGGACTGTGCCCAGGAACACGTCCAGTTGTCTCGTGGAGGTCTCCAGGGTGAACTCCCCCTCTCTTAGATCCCTTGGTAGGGCGTTGAACAGCCTTGGCCCTGCCACGGAAAGTGATCCTTCCCGCAGGGATTGGAATCTGACTGCGGATCTGTTACGTAGTGGGGGGGTATCTTGCACAGTCTCTCCCTTCTCTCGTTGTGATATGTCTTAATCCTGAAGGTCTCGCTCCCGAAGTTTGGCTCCATTCCAATTATAATTTTCCATGTGTACGGAATGACATACCTCTCCCGTCTCCTCTGCAGCGAGTACAGACCCAGTCGCTGCAACCTCTCCTAGTAGTTAAACTTCTCCATCCCTCTGATCCTGGAAGTGAAGGTTCGTTGGACTCCTTCCAGTTGCCGTATTGCGCCTAGTGTGAACGGAGTCCAGAGCTGGCAGCAGTATTCAAGGATAGGTATTACAAGGGCTCTGAAGAGTGTGATCATCGGTTCCGTTTCTCTCGTTCTGAACGTCCGCCAGATTACCCCATCTGTCGTCTACCTCTTGCGGTTATTGCCGGTATGTGATCACCAAAATTGATCTGATTGTTCATCAACACTCCTAGATCGCGAACGAGTCGCTTCTCTACGATTTCCGAGCTGTCAGGTGCCAGGTAGCGGTGATCCATTCCAGCTCTTCCGGTTCCTCGGTACCTCAGGACCCGAAACTTGGTCCGGTTGAACTGCATGTTGTTCACTAGAGCCCAGTCATATATTGCAGAGAGGTCTTCTTGCAACCTCTCACTGTCCGTCCTGTCCGTGACGGTCATTAATATCCTGGTGTCCGCGAATGACGATGCAATGGCGTGGTTCACTGCCACATCTATGTCGGCGATGTGGATGAGGAAGAGGATTGGGCCGAGTACCGTTCCCTCTGGTACTCCACTCTTCACCCTAGCCACGCTCGATCTCGAGCCTCCAACACCTACAGCTTGTAGTCTTTCTGTTAGGAAGCTGTGGATCCATGCCAGCAATTCACAACCGACCCCCAGTAGTCGTAATTTTCTGAAGAGCACGTCATGGTCAACTTTGTCTAACGCTTTCGCGAAGTCCAAATACACCACGTCCACCCCGGCCCCCTCCTCCAGCATGGCCAGGATTTGGTGGTGATGCTCCAGTAACTGAGACAAACAAGAGCGATTTCGTCTAAAACCATGTTGCCTTCTGTTGAAAAAGGTCAGCCTCCTCCATGTACTGCACCAACCTTCTGGCAACGACCTTCTCAAATATATTTTGATTACGTGTGATGTTAATGTAACCGGCCTTTAGTTCTGGGGTTTATCTCTTGCACCTCCTTTGAAGATTGGGGTTATTAGCCCTAATTTTAGGTCAGGCGAATGAGCAAGACTTTGTCCCGAATAACTATGCCCGTTTTTGACTTAGTTCAAAAAGCGATGCACTTTTTGACTTGGCACAATATTCAGCCTTTTGCACAATATTCAGCCTACGCACAGTCACCACGAAGTCGCTACGAGATGGCGAAGCTCTACGAGAAGACTATCCACTTCCCCACGACGTACGTGAACTGCCTGGCGCAGGCCTACCGCGGCTACCACGGCATCGCCCTCTGCGACCAATGGCTCAGGTCCTGGAACTACAAGGAAGAGGTCACGCTCATCTACTTCCTGAAGCAGATCAAGCTCTGGAAGCGTGAGTGTTAAACGTGCGGAAATATGAGTGTTCAAGGCCTGGAGTGCTCAAGACCTGAAAGTGTGAGTGTCCAAGGTCTGGAAGTGTGATTGTTCAAGGTCTGCAAGTGTGAGTGTTCAAGGTCTGCAAGTGTGAGTGTTCAAGGTCTGCAAGTGTGAGTGTTCAAGGTCTGCATGTGTGAGTGTTCAAGGTCTGCATGTGTGAGTGTTCAAGGTCTGCAAGTGTGATTGTTCAAGGTCTGCAAGTGTGGGTGTTCAAGGTCTGGCAACGTGGCAAGTGTGAGCGTTCCAAGGTCTGGCAAGTGTGAGTGTTCCAAGGTCTGGCAAGTGTGAGTGTTCCAATGTCTGGCAAGTGTGAGTGTTCAAGGTCTGGCAAGTGTGAGTGTTCAAGGTCTGGCAAGTGTGAGTGTTCAAGGTCTGGCAAGTGTGAGTGTTCAAGGTCTGGCAAGTGTGAGTGTTCAAGGTCTGGCAAGTGTGAGTNGGAAGTGTGAGTGTTCAAGGTCTGGAAGTGTGAGTGTTCAAGGTCTGGAAGTGTGAGTGTTCAAGGTCTGGAAGTGTGAGTGTTCAAGGTCTGGAAGTGCGAGTTTCCAAGGTCTGGAAGTGCGAGTTTCCAAGGTTTGGAAGAGCGGGTTTTCGTTTGTGTTGAACGTGTGTGAATTGAAGGAATGAAACTGTGAATATTCAAGTTCCATCATCGACTAACTGGAGCAAATATTGCTGTGAAATTGTAAGCGTCAATGGGCGTGGAAATGGGAGTGTTGCAGGGCTGTAGGTGTGGGTGCTGAAAGTGTTATGTTTACCGATTTCGCCTGTGGCGCCGACACTAGTTTCGTCTGTCGCAGTCTGCGTGCAGCAGGATGTAAATCGGGGGGATCGATGCCTGCGGCTGTGCCAGCTGATGCTGGTGGAGGACCGCCTCGAGAAGAACCTCAGCGAGGCCGCTTTGAGCCCCGGGGGCCTTGCCTGCGTCAACATCATGATGGCCCAGGTCCTCTCAAATCGTACTCTGTCGGCCCTCTTCTCTCCTCTGAATTCCCTCTCCCTCCTCTAACTTCCCTCTCCCTCCTCTGACTTCCCTCCTCCCTTCTCTGTCGGCCCTCCCCTCTCCTCTGAATTCCCTCTCCCTCCTCTGACTTCCCTCTCCCTCCTCTGACTTCCCTCTCCCTCCTCTGACTTCCCTCTNCCCTCTCCTCTGACTGCCCCTCTCCTCTGACTGCCCCTCTCCTCTGACTGCCCCTCTCCTCTGACTGCCCCTCTCCTCTGACTGCCCCTCTCCTCTGACTGCCCCTCTCCTCTGACTGCCCCTCTCCTCTGACTGCCCCTCTCCTCTGACTGCCCCTCTCCTCTGACTGCCCCTCTCCTCTGACTGCCCCTCTCCTCTGACTGCCCCTCTCCTCTGACTGCCCCTCTCCTCTGACTGCCCCTCTCCTCTGACTGCCCCTCTCCTCTGACTGCCCCTCTCCTCTGACTGCCCCTCTCCTCTGACTGCCCCTCTCCTCTGACTGCCCCTCTCCTCTGACTGCCCCTCTCCTCTGACTGCCCCTCTCCTCTGACTGCCCCTCTCCTCTGACTGCCCCTCTCCTCTGACTGCCCCTCTCCTCTGACTGCCCCTCTCCTCTGACTGCCCCTCTCCTCTGACTGCCCCTCTCCTCTGACTGCCCCTCTCCTCTGACTGCCCCTCTCCTCTGACTGCCCCTCTCCTCTGACTGCCCCTCTCCTCTGACTGCCCCTCTCCTCTGACTGCCCCTCTCCTCTGACTGCCCCTCTCCTCTGACTGCCCCTCTCCTCTGACTGCCCCTCTCCTCTGACTGCCCCTCTCCTCTGACTGCCCCTCTCCTCTGACTGCCCCTCTCCTCTGACTGCCCCTCTCCTCTGACTGCCCCTCTCCTCTGACTGCCCCTCTCCTCTGACTGCCCCTCTCCTCTGACTGCCCCTCTCCTCTGACTGCCCCTCTCCTCTGACTGCCCCTCTCCTCTGACTGCCCCTCTCCTCTGACTGCCCCTCTCCTCTGACTGCCCCTCTCCTCTGACTGCCCCTCTCCTCTGACTGCCCCTCTCCTCTGACTGCCCCTCTCCTCTGACTGCCCCTCTCCTCTGACTGCCCCTCTCCTCTGACTGCCCCTCTCCTCTGACTGCCCCTCTCCTCTGACTGCCCCTCTCCTCTGACTGCCCCTCTCCTCTGACTGCCCCTCTCCTCTGACTGCCCCTCTCCTCTGACTGCCCCTCTCCTCTGACTGCCCCTCTCCTCTGACTGCCCCTCTCCTCTGACTGCCCCTCTCCTCTGACTGCCCCTCTCCTCTGACTGCCCCTCTCCTCTGACTGCCCCTCTCCTCTGACTGCCCCTCTCCTCTGACTGCCCCTCTCCTCTGACTGCCCCTCTCCTCTGACTGCCCCTCTCCTCTGACTACCCCTCTCCTCTACCCCTTTCATATTAAGTCCCCTCACGCTCTCTAGCCCTTATTTGATATTTCTACTTGAGCGATAGTTTAATTAATTATATTCCTTATTAGTCATATTATTTATAGATATAACGGCTTCATTGTCTTACAAATTGATTATCAATTTTTTATTGTTGCTTCCTGGTGCTTTCTTGATGTTTTCCGTCGACTTTCCTTATTTCTTATCAATTCCTCGTCCACTCCTCGTCCATACCTCACCCCTACCCCCGGCAGGTATGCCACTACAAGGCCGCGTGGCTGCAGACGCGTCAGTACGACACGCTCTCCGTCGACCACGAGAACGACGTTCGCTGCATCATGTGGCAGCAACGCCTCTACAGCAGGGTACGTCGTGGGGTACTGGGGTACGTCGCGGGGTACTGGGGTACGTCGCGGGGTACTGGGGCACGTCGCGGGGTACTGGGGTACGTCGCGGGGTACTGGGGTACGTCGCGGGGTACTGGGGTACGTCGCGGGGTACTGGGGTACACGTCGCGGGGTACTGGGGTACACGTCGCGAGGTACTGCAGTACGTTGGGGGTACTGGGATACGTCGCGGGGTACTGGGATACGTCGCGGGGTACTGGGATACGTCGCGGGGTACTGGGATACGTCGCGGGGTACTGGGGTACGTCGCGGGGTACTGGGATACGTCATGTGGCATCTGCGCCTTTACAAAAAGGTACATACGTCCATAGTTGAACGCCTCGTTCCTTGGCGGCGTTTGCTCTGGCTTATTGCAGTCAGAGAAATTAATGAAACTTTGTCCAAACAGCGATGCAGATGTTGCCTTCTTGTGGGTCATCATTATCAAGTTTGGCTCGGAAATAAGTCATGGCAGCAGTGCTACGTGCAGAATGTGCGTCAGCAGCGTCACTAGTTCGACTACATAACCGATTTATTTTCATGAGTTTTTGGTATCTCTCAATGTCTCAAACATCACTGGCTTTGTCACAGAGTTCCCTGCGTGAAACCTTATCCAGCTTAAAATAATTTCAATTGTTTTATTTAAACTGTTGATACAATTCACTATATAGATTACAAGTTCCGTGTATTTTTAATTATTTCTAGCTACACTATTTTCTATTAACATTCTCTACTCACAAAGTGTCTGCTCGTTTGCAGTTACAGACGAATGAGCAGAGCTGGGCAGCGCTACTTTGAAATGTAGTGGCCGCTGCCGCTACCGCTACATGCTATAAATGTAGCGGGCTCTACCGCTACCGCTACAATTGTTTAAATGTAGCGCCGCTACCGCTACTGAAAATGTAGCGGCTGTTAGTAGCGGCTGCTACATGTAGCGTGCTACTGCCCACCTCTGCCAATGAATTAATGCAATTTACTATCTACAGTATTATTAAATAATGAAGTCATCCTAACGCCGTTGTTCTCCGTCGCTGCAGCGCAGTCGCTGCGTGCGCGTTGCGCTGTTGCTGCTCAAGTCAAGACAGCAGGAACGGCCGCTGATGTCGCGCGCTTGCCTCCTGAGCTGCACGAAGAAACTCTTCGCTGACGCTGTCCTTCAGGCTATCTTGGAGCAGAACCAGCGCAGGGTCAGGCAAGATCTTTGCTTTATTTTATCTGCAAGGACCTGAAATCCATCAGAATTGCACAGATATATAAGCTGGAGCTATAAGATAGAAGATTTATTTATTTTGGTTGTTCCGCTCCTAATGCAGAGAAGATGCGCTGAATTTCGGTTTCCGGGTTGTCTGGACGAATATAATGTAGTTTATCATCAGCCCAGTGGAATCTTTACACTAAACTCGACTGCTCATTCATTCCCCAGCACTAATTCTTTACCTCCCCAGCACTAATTCTTCACCTCCCCAGCACTAATTCTTCACCTCCCCAGCACTAATTCTTCACCTCCCCAGCACTAATTCTTCACCTCCCCAATACTAATTCTTCACCTCCCCAGCACTAATTCTTCACCTCCCCAGCACTAATTCTTCACCTCCCCAGCACTAATCCTCCACCTCCCCAGCCCGTGACGCAGGTGCTGGTCACCCTGATGGACCTCCTCCCCCTCGCCCTCCACCCGTGGTTGGTCCCTAGTCGCTCCTTCTTCGGTCCCACGACCTACAACCTCATCGTCCCCCAGGATGAGACCGTCCACCTCAACTACATCTTCGCAATGCTCTTCTACGGCACCGCTCTCATCTATTTCGCGATGCACAGGTTAACTATGACAGTCTAAACGATTTTATCGGAGAAAAATTTTGTCAGTTATGGAAAGATCGGGTTCCAAAGACCCGATCCCTTGTGGATCAAGTCACGAAAAGTTCAGGAATCGGCAACAGGCCATGGGCCTATTTCTTCAGTGCCGACACTTCTATTCTATTCTATTCTAATGCTCTTCTACGGCAACGCTCTCATCTATTTTGCGATGAACAGATTAACTATGACAGTCTAAACGATTTTATTGAAGAAAAATTTCGATTTTTATTATAAATAAATACTCATTCACCCTTTTAATTATTTTTCGTAATTTCAGGCAAATGGTGATAAATTTTAAGAACTGTTTCACTGATGATACACTTAGTGCTTATTCGATTGTGGTTCCGACGTAATTCCTCGACTGTTAGTTCGACGTGGGCCCTCTGCCTGATGGTTTTGATCTATCTAATGAGACTAGGTCACAATATAACAAAATATTTTCGAATTCACGACCCTAACAACAGGTAACAAGTGAATTGGTTTCGTTTAGGACAAGAATGTCTACGGCCATGGATACACCAAAAACCATCTTGCCAATTCGGCTTCTAGGACAGCGGGGTGAACTCTGCACCGACTCAGTGCGTTTGTAATGCGGAAGCAGTACACTGCTTCTTCTTCCTGTGTTCACCGCAATGTCTGTATTTCATTAACCTGTATTACTACCTTACAACAGTCTACCTTCAGCGACACCAGATCTAAAAAATTACTCTCTGTCAACGCTTAACTTAAGCCAGCATTTCAGGACCATGGCCTCCAGGGTGGAGGCTGAGGATGCCGACCTGAAGGAGACCTTCCGCCTCAACGGCCGCTACTTCCTGACGCTGTCTATGCTGTACCTTGCCGACGACGCTGTCGCTGCTGCCGTCGTGCGCACCGTCGCTGATTTCGCCTTGGTTTTCTCGAAATGCTTCATAAATCGTGAGAACCCTCAATAAATTTCTTAACGCGATAGACGCGTTAAGAAATTTATTGCACCCCTTGACACGTATTGTAAGGTGGTTGTGCTCGATCCGAGTTTCATGTTAGTCTGAATATGGTAACTGGTTACCACTCACACATACGGAGCACACGTAAACAATTAATTACTTAACCCTTCTCCCGCCTAGCCCAGGCGATATCCTACTAATCATTTAATTCTCCCTCACCCCACCTGGTAATTATTTCATCCTCCCTCACCCCGCAGCCCACGTGACCCCCTACTCATCCCCGGTGGGGCGGCACACTGCGGTGGTGAGCTGTCACTCCCTCCTGCTGCCGCTGCTGTGGGAGCTCGCGGCCTCCGAGGACCACAGCGGGGACCTCTTCTCTGGTGGTGCGTTAGAATGAGTGTGGTGCGTTAGAATGAGTGTGGTGCGTTAGAATGAGTGTGGTTCGTTAGAATGAGTGTGGTGCGTTAGAATGAGTGTGGTGCGTTAGAATGAGTGTGGTGCGTTAGAATGAGTGTGGTGCGTTAGAATGAGTGTGGTGCGTTAGTATGAGTATGGTGCAGTTGTTTGTTCAGCCCTCGGGCTCTGAAATAAATGGTTGTGGTCTGTGTCGCAGTCGCCTGGGTGATGCTTGTCCTTCCGGAAGGACATAGGGTTTCTGGGAGGATGTGGTAATTCTAGGTAGGCAGTGCAGTTCATGATCCTTCATGTCCTGAGATATATGGTTTAGAGTTGTTAACTGACATATTATGGTCTGCGTCGCAGCTCACTAAGTAAAGGTGGTTTTTCTGTGGGTGGTGCAGTTCCTCATCCCTCATGTCAAAAAATGTAAAGTTTGGGAGCCAACTGGGCCATGTTATTGTCTGTGTCGCAGTTGACGCGGTGAAGGTGGATGAAGTGCACCTGCCTCTAAGTCTGGAGGAATTAAACGTAAGGTTCGACCCCGACACCGTGTCCTTGTACAAGGCGGCGCTGAACAAAGTCCAGTTGGAGCACGAGGTGAAGATTCCTCTGGATAACGTGAAGAGGACAGCCCTTCAGCGACGCCCGCACACACGCACGTAAGTCCATGTTCATAAATATGCTAGGTTGAGTTTGATAAATATGCTAGGTTGGGTACTATAAATATGCTAGGTTGAGTTTGAACTAGCCATACCCTCAGAGAAATGAACAAGACTGCCCAAATAGCTATGTACATTTGGCCTTTGTGGGTCAAACTGAACCATTTCAGCTCGGTAAAGGGGCGTATCAGTGCCACGCGCAGAAATTATCACTGTTTGGACAATATGATCAATTCATTTTTATGTGTGTGAGGTCGCACCTTGTAAGAGATCGTGGCTCAGGTATATATATTCTGGTCTATCTGGTAAATAGGTATATCATTGTATATACGTGGTGAAGGTAAATAAATATACGTCGTATGCTTATATATCTGTTGATCGGGAGTTGAACACGAGCAACGGTTTTTACTATGGGATGTACTACTAGTTTCAGTCTGAGGAATAGCTGCAGGAACGAAAATGGAATCGTGCAAGAAAAATGTTACGGAAGGAATCACATCTGAGACCTTATCAGTTAATTTGATTCTTGTAAAATAAAATAAATATATCGCGCCATGAAGCAAGATAAAGGTAATGAAGATTCGTGCGCACTATCTATTATTACTTGAGTCTATTTTGCAATTCGCCTCGAATTATTGAAACCAACGAGTTCAAATATCATCATTACACTTCAAATTCCACCGCAATGCTCAACCCAGGGACGCATGCTGTCCTTCCAGGCAAATGACTTTGAAATAACGATTACTGATGATTACTGAACAACGTGAAACAACAACGATGATTACTACGTTTATGATATCATCGATTAATGTTATTTAAACGTTAGAAACCCGATGGGTAACCAGATTACCTTCGTCCCAACTTACAGTTGAGTGTTAATGATGTGGTAGAGATGATGCCCTAAAGTTTTACCCGTTTTCAACAAATATTTTCTCCCAGGATGCCAGAAGGAAGATCCCAGAAGGAAGATCACGCCTTACAATTTCATAACCGTTTACTGTCTTTCATAACCGTCTTCGTTTGCTCCCCAGGTTGAAACTGGACTTGTATGACGTCTCAGAAGTCATCCCTTTGAACGCCGAATTGGACTACCGTCCCCACATGCCGGGGCTCGACGAATACGGCAAGACTTTTCGTGTCGAGTACTTCATCGACTTACAGGAATGCACACCTCAGGACACGCACGCCCTCTACACCGACGCCTTCGTGGCGCAGATCATTGATAATTTCGAAGATAAACTTGTAGGACCACCCCAGGGACTCCAGCAGGAGCTAGACGCCCTCCTTGCGGTTGTCACCGAACACAGCAGCATTATCCTGCAGGTGCTCAAGCGGCGCAGCAAGAAAGTCATCCCACTCGTCCCCTATGACGTGTGAGTGGACGGCGGGTATCCTGAACTGTCGTGTGCACCATGACGTGTCGTGTGCACCATGACGTGTCGTGTGCACCATGACGTGTCGTGTGCACCATGACGTGTCGTGTACACCATGACGTGTCGTGTACGCCATGACGTGTCGTGTACGCCATGACGTGTCGTGTACACCATGACGTGTCGTGTGCGCCATGACGTGTCGTGTGCGCCATGACGTGTCGTGTGCGCCATGACGTGTCGTGTGCACCATGACGTGTCGTGTGCACCATGACGTGTCGTGTGCACCATGACGTGTGTGCACCATAACATTTCGTGTGCATCATGGATGTCGTATGCACCCAGACGTGTCGTGTGCACCCTGACGTGTCGTGTGCACCCTGACGTGTCGTGTGCCTACTGACGTGTCGTGTGCACCATGACGTGTCGTGTGCCCCATGTCGTGGGTGCAAACTACGTAATTTTATCAACACTCTTCATTTTTATTTTTACTACCTTCTCATCTTCCTCTTCCTTATAATACCGTCGCATTTTTCCTTCTCTCTTTGGCCTTTCTTAACCAATTCTCCCTTTTATGCTTCTTTCTACTATATAGTACACTACCCGCCACTCATCCTCTACCCGCTCCCGCAGGCCGATGCCTTCAAAGATCAGCAGGTCAGGGGTACGTCGTACCCTGGAGGAAGGGGCAGCTTCCCACGAGGGCATGACGACCATTGAGCGCCTCGTCCGACGCCTGCACGCCCTCGACGTCTCCTTCAATTACGGGGAGCTGGTCAGTCTACTACGGGGGCACCTGATGACTCTGAATAAGACGATTGAGGAGAAGAAACAATTGTGGCATATCAACAACTAGCAGGGATAGATAAATGTTCAATTTGGAAGGCGACCAAATCGACGCGGAAGGCGACCAAGTCGATGCGGAAGGCGACCAAGTCGATGCGGAAGGCGACTAAGTCGATGCGGAAGGCGACCAAGTCGATGCGGAGAAGTAGAAGTTGGAACTCGCACAACTGAATAGTCCACTGACCATCGACATCGAACCTCATGAACTTATTCTGTAATTAACCCTTGTTAGAACGTTCAGGACTTAGAATTTCCAGACAGCTGAATTCCCTGAATTCTTTACTTGATATCAAACGTTGTTAGCAGGACTTCTAAACCCCATCTCAACGTTGGGCATCATATGAATTGGCTTTGTTTTGTTATCAGTTTTGCAATTTTCAATTATCGATTGGATACGTTAACACGTGAAACTAAATAAACAACAAAAAACTTACTATATGTGTGATGTCAATCCCATGTTTAACAGTTTTTCATATGTTATTGCATGAATATATTGTTAATGTTACACGAATGTTTCGATTGTTTTCTTCTGAAAATATAAATGCCTATCATTTGAATTCCATGGCTTTTGTCACCCTTCTTGTGTTAAGAGAATATCATATTATTGCGGTGACGTTCATTGAGACATTTGCAGCCGTTTGAAAACTGCTCGTAACAGCAAGCAAATTTTCTGCAGCAAACACAAATGTGTATTTCACAAATAGAACCCCATTTAGTGAACCAATATGTTTTTAAACTGTTTTAACTGCTTCAGCACTAGAAACCTAGGACGTCTCGGGCAAATTTACGGCCGGACTCGTGGCCGGTCTCATGGTCAATCTCCAAATTCAATTATCAAGTAATATCTCCCAAACTAATGAACGCAGCTCAATGAAACTTGGAACATGTATTCATCAGAACCAAACGGTGATTTTTAGCTCGTAAAAATTTTTAAATTTCACCTTCATTCCTGAGTTATATTGCGATAAAGGCCGAAATTCGCAGTAATCAAAGAATGTCGTCCTAACTATTGAACAGATTCGAACGAAATTTTGAATTTACAGTCCTAACCACCGAACGGTAATGTTTAGCTCGTGAAAATTTATTCCATCGTGCCTTTGTTTGCAGGTTCTTATACATTCCTGATTCCTAGTTGTGGTTTATATACATTCCTAACTAACAGTGATTTTTAGGCTTTTGAAAAAATTTTGGATAATACCTTCGTTTGCGATTTTTTTTTTCATTTCACCGTCATTTTTGATTTCACACTTACTTATATTCGGCCCGTATCGCCGGATCATTTGTCGCTTTAATTCGCGGCGATCAAGAAATTTCTTCTAAACTACAGAACAGATTTCAACGAAACTTTGTATATAAATACCCAATCTCTCAACGGCGATGTTTAACTCGTGAAAATTTTTCTACTTTGCTTTCGTTCGCGAGTTATACAGATATAGGAGGAACGACCGGCTTCTCTACCGTCCGGTTTAACCAAGAGCCTTTTACGTATATCCGTATGCGTATAGCCGTATAACTCGCAAACGAAGGCAAATTATCAGTGTACCCTCAATTTGTAGCGAACATTGCTGTTGCTGAGGTTATTTAAAAACCAAGTTTCGTTCAAATCTATTCAGTGGTTTTGGAATGAATTTCTTGATTATACTGCGAATTTAAGCACGTATTGCTGTTTAAATCACGAATGAAGGTGAAATGAAAAAAAAACTCGCGAACAAAGGCACAATCGAATAAATTTTCACGAGCTAAACATTACCGTTTGGTAGTTAGGACTGTAAATTCAAAATTTCGTTCGAATCTGTTCAATAGTTTGAACGAAATTCCTTGATCTCTGTGAGTTTCGGCTCGTATTGCCATATAACTATAGCAAAAACAAATGAAGGCCAAATTAAAAAAAAATTCTCGATCTAAAGATTACCGTTAGGTCTTAATGAATACGTGTACCAAGCTTCATCGAGTTAAGTTCATTAGTTTGAGAGATATTCCTTGATCATTGAATTTGGAAATTGGCCGTGAGACCGGCCGCGAGTCCGGCCGTTAATTTGTCCGCGACGTAAACCCAGGAGAGGTTAAAAAAACAGATCTGGGTGGGAAAAACATCGCTGGGAGTCATTACGGTATGTGCTGCACGTGTTGCGTACAAATCGTCAACAAACGTTTGAACTTCTGACATTGCCTTCGGACTACCGCCCCCCTATCGCCCCCCAAACGCCCTTTTTTTCCTAACCGCCTCCCCCCCCCCAAATCTTTCCACCGCCCCTAGGGGGCGATATCGCCCACTTTGGGAACCACTGCTCTACAGTCATGGTAGTAAGAAACGTATCCAATACCGTGTGCTTTCTGACAGCTCAATTGCTAGCCGTTCCCACTGTTTCAACCCTATGCGGTTGACTTGGTGTTCCGCATGCATCATGAGCAGGACGGTTATGGTGCAGTTGTGAAGAAATTTGATCCATTTAATGGAGGTAGCTTCAACGTTTCGTTGATCCCGTAGCTATCCCCTTCGAAGGCACCATGAGTGGTATTACTTGGGGGCAGGGAACCTTGTATTTGTTTTGTGTGACCTGAGAGACTGTCTTTGGTGACATAAATATTACAAATTCAGGCGTTATTTAATGAAGACCAACCCTCGATTTAGCGTCTTCTTCCTTAGATCCATGTCCAGAAACCAAGAGGCGGAGTTAGCGTAGTAATGGATCGAAGAAAGGAAGTATGGTGGATCTATGGTTGCTATGAGAATTGATGAGCTGGTGTTGCTGATGTTGGATTCGACTCTCGAGGAGACTGTAAACTGTTAATTTTTCCCTTCTAAAATGAATAATTGTCCTCATTTCGGGAAAATTTCAAGTGGAATTAAATAATTTTTGTATTAATTATATATTAAAAGTGACTGAACTTTTGAAATTTAAACAACAGTTTTCCGTTGTAAAATCAGCTCATTCAGAGTTGGGTTTAAACCTATCTACCAAATGTGAATAGCGGAATCGAATAGGATCGGGTAAAATCGAATAGAATTTGATGAATAATATAGTTTGAACGGGTAATTTATGAGCAATCGTAAACCGTGTGAGATATGAATAATAAAGCAACTGGCCGAAGACCAAATCGCAAGACCATCTCGAACTACATTTTGGCTGGGATTAGGTCGTTGGGGTTGGAAAATAACCGTACTGGGGTTACGTCTAAGCCAGCAGGTCAAGTTCCCTTATTCGGTCCGAAATCCGAATAGGATAAAATCAGGGTTAATTGTTCACGCTCAGGTAGGATCGGGTAGTCTGAATGGGTAATTAATATAAGACTTTGATTATTATTATTCTGCGAAGCAGTTGCCGTTGCGTCTTGTTCAAATAAACTTCGAGGGGACGTTATACTCAAGTTTAGTAGCAAGCGAAAAATAAACAAGCACGAGAAGGGATGAGAATGGATAAAAATGACTAAACACATGATTCATAGGCTCGGGAACGCTCGCCAGGCTACCCATAGGCTCTCCGAAATAGTTCCGTCTTTTGGCGCCAACAAAACACCTGCAACGAAGGAGCCGATGTTACGGAAGCTGACAGACTTCCAGGTACTCGCGGCATCGACCGGGAACGCTGCCGCCGACGGTAGATAGACGTGTAGATGGTACGAAGAGGTCCACTGTTGATGACGAGCGCAGTCTTATTCTAGAAGGCAGATCGGACCGATCCGACATGCTGTAGTCGCGCCTAGTGCGTCTCTAATGTTTGTACTGCGATTTTCCTTATAATTTTTTCGCGATCATTCAAACAGTTATTTATTATATTTTTGGTGTTAAATTTGTACACATTTTTCTATTATTGTTTTTGTCTTTCGGTTTTTACTAGCATTTTCATTTAGAGAAAAAGCCTGTTCATCCTGATCATCCGAAGCGGGTCACTTTCATTTTGTTAGTCGTGAAGAACTTGGCACTTCACTGTTGGTGAACCTTTATTCTGTAACCTTATTTATAGTGAAATCTAAATTTGTGCGTGATATTTGTGAATAGTTATATTGTGACATATGAATTCGAGTTTTGATATTTAAGAATAGTAATTTTGTTAGGAATAACTAGGATTAACTGTTATTGCTAAATCTTAAATTTGATATTCTTTGTTTGCAGAACCTAACTTAATTATCACGTTTAGTTAGCTTCAGTACGAGCCATCCGCTGGGTTCATTTTAAGTTCATTTTTTGTTCTTGTTTCTACATTCATCAGTATCCACCAGTGCCTTCGTTACCAATAAAGTGTCAGAAGTCCTCCAAGTTCACTTCCCTGCACGGTTAAAGTTTGGTTGTCTGACAGGCGCTGACGTAAGAGCGTTCGGAAGTCACCGTCGCGCTTACAATGCGCTGCAGACATTTCGTGAGATATGTCAGACCGTGACGGCATCGGAACCTTGAACTGCGTGCACTGATGCCTTCGCAGCCGGTATAGATCGCGCAAATCGGTGTCACGTGGTCGAATTTTCGCTTATTGCACACAAGTCGCGCAGCAGAGTTTATTACGAATTGCAGTTTATTAAGTGCCGTGGTCAGAAGTCCGTCGAGGCATTACCATAGTCCAATCAGCTGGTCAGAACGAGCGTCATCACGCGGGCCTCGAGGACCGTCCTCGAGAGACAGTCGCTGATGTAATGTATTCGTCGCCGGGCGCCTAAACCTTTGGTGGTGACTTTGGCAATGTCTTTCATCGTAGAGAGTTCGGAGTCCAGCAGAATGCCGATGTTATGAACCGAAGATGCTGGCTAACAAACTTGTTGCCCACGCGAACAGGTTTGGCCCGGAATCTGCTGTTAGCGCCGAGCAATTACAAACCAAATAAAATCGGTTTTCGATGCATTGAGCTGGAGCTGGTTGGAGCGCATCCAGTGTGAGACGGCGTCCATGCAGACAGACAGGCATTCGGTCCAGCAACGCTGCAGTGTCAGCAATAAATTTGGATGTCGTTGACGAATATATGCTCATTCAAACAATATGAATCATTTATGTGCAAGTGCAATACGTCGACATTATTTAACAGGGAAAGGATCGGGCCGAGGACTGATCCCTGTGCTACGTGGTAAGTGAGCAACTATGGCATTGTTAGGGATCGCAAATTTATTGAATAGTCCCTAACAGCGTAGAAAAAGAGTCCCTCCTTCGAACGCACTGGAATTTACTGCTGAGATAGGACTCGACGGTGGTATCAAAATGATCCCCGAAGTGCATAGAGTTCAATGGTATGATCGCCATTTTTGACAATTATTGCTGGAGATAGTTATTCAGTTGTCAGGCCACAACACGTTTCAGGAGTTTATACAATATTGACAGGTTGGAGATGGGATGGTTTGGGATCAGAAACGTCAAGATCTGTTTTTTCAATAGAGACTTGATGTAAGCTGATTTGAAGTTCTCTAGAACAACACCGTCAGTGATGCATCGGTTGAAAAGTTCGACCTGAAAACGTTCTGGGGTTAGGACATTGCCCTTAAATAACGACATCGGCAGAGGATTGCTGGCACACTGCTTGTTAGACAGCGCGTGTACTGCAGCGCGGTGCCTTCTTCATCTTTGACGAAAGTGAATTCGTGGAGCACGATGCTTGTTCAGCAGAAATTTAGCTTTCAAAAACCACAAGGGATTCTTCCACGACTATTTCACCCGAAGCATCTGTATGACCTCTTAGGCTCTTACCGTAATCGGTAAGTCCATCCATCAAACACCAGAGCGCTCGAGGATCACACGTCTCGGACAAATTTACGGCCGGACTTGCGGCCGGTCTCGCGGCCAGACTCGCGGTCGTCAGTACGTCTCGGACAAATTTACGGCCGGACCCGTGGCCGGTCTCGCGGCCGGTCTCGCGGCCGCCGGACTCCATACATAGAAGAAACCTAGCCAATCAACGAAAACCTAGCAGGTTAGGTCTAGTTAGGAACAGGTTCCATTAAAAACTCAAAAAACATAGAAAACCCCATAAAACACTAAGAAAACCTTTCCGGCCGCGAGACCGGCAGCGGGTCCGGCCGTAAATTTGTCCGAGACCTGTCGTCAGTGTACCTGGAATATCTTCCAAAGTACTGAACGTATCTCGATGAAACTTAGTACATATATTCATTATGGCCTAACGGTGATGTCAAGCGCGTGACAATTTTTTAATGTCGCCTTCATTCGACGTTTCGGACAAATTTTCGGCCGGACTTGCGGCCGGACTCGCGGCCAGTGTCCAAATTCAGTGTACCTGGAATATCTCCCAAAGTACTGAACTTAGCTCGATGAAACTTGGTACACATATTCATTATGGCCTTACGGTGATCTTATGCTCGTGATAATATTTTGAATATCGCCTTCATTCGTGAGTTATATGACGAAACGTGCCGAAATTTGCAGTGTACCGGCCATTTCTTCCAGAGTACTGAACAGATCTGAATGAAATTTTGAATATGAATTTCTGAATACTAAACGGTGATGTTTAGGTCGTGAAAAATTTTTACGTTTTGCCTTCTTTGGCGAGTATTTTTCTCTTTTCCCTCGTTCGTGATTTAAACAGCTAAATAGTGCTTAAATTCGCAGTGTACCAGAGATTTCTTCTGAAATACTGAACAGATTCGAACGAAACTTTGCAAATAGAAACCTAACCTCCCAACGGTGATGTTTAGCTCATGACAATTTTTTTCGATTTTGCCTTCGTTTGTGAGTTATACGGCTTGGTCAATGCAAGTTCAAAAATCGGACTGAGAAATGCCGGTCGTTTCTCCGTATATCCGTATAACTCGCGTATATCCGTACGTATAACGTATATCCGATTGGGTACTCGAACTGTGTACCCTCTGCAGAAGCTCTCAGGCCCCACGGTCATCCTTGCGTTTGTCCTGTGGCTTTAAGTCCACCCAACGTGGACATCCGGAAAAGAAGAAGAAGAACTGTGTACCCAAACGATCGGTTCAGCCGTTTCTAAAAAAGAATAAGTATTCCTGATTTTTTTAAATTCAACTCAAAAGTTTTCCCAAACCTAGAAATTAATTTACTTAAACGCGGTAGAATAGAAATTATTGTATAATTTTACTAGTACCAGTTCAGCCGTTTCTAAAATAGAATTTGTATTCATAATGTAGAATACACTACTATCATAATTGTAAAGACAATGTTCTCTAATTCCAATTGTATACATCCAATCATTACCACATTTTAGTCAAAATTTATTCACGTTTTTAATTTGTATAGGAAAAACATGATCATTAGATTGCTGCCACCTAACGGTGATGAATTCCGTTTTCTTGGGTCGACTTTATTGATATTCCGGCATTGCGGAGAGACAGTCAGTATTTTTGTTCCGAATTCGCCAGAGAAACAACAGGTGTCTTTATCATCTACTGAAATCAGCTGTTCGGCCGGCGCGGGCCGGCCGGCAACGAACAACAACAATCTAAAGTTAAAAGTGATAGCTCCTACGCCTTAGTAACAAATCAAGTTTCTGTACATTGACCATGTTTTTAATTGATAATCTCGATGTGAGATTGAATTGTAAAATTATACTTTTGAACCATAATCCTTTATACAAAACATTTTAATTATTTTATGATATCAGAAAAATATTTATCAATTATCAGTGATTTTTGTTAAAATTTACTTTTTGACTCGTGGGATCTAATAATGAATAAGATCTTGCAGAATGCAGCTTCAAGCTTGAGGTGACAAATTTTCTATACAAGTGGTATCTTGTATAAAAATTCTGGCCTGATTGTGCACTTTTGTTAACACTTAGATGGGAGTTGATTCATCTAGCAGGAAATTCAGGAATCTTACTGTTCCAAAATATTGCAGCCATGCTAGTATGGAATATATCTACTTGGCGAGCCGCGACTGAATTTTTCGAGCCGTGGTTTTAGGGATTTGCCAGCCGTGATTCCATTTCTACGAGCCGTGATTCTATTTCACCGAGCCGTGAATTCCATATCTCGGCCATGNGTGTGATGATCTGCTCCAAATACGACATGTGTCACTACAACACTCAGAGGTGCCGTGTGTGCTGTGTGATGATCTGCTCCAAATACGACATGTGTCACTACAACACTCAGAGGGGCCGTGTGTGCCTTGTATTCGACCCTGATAGACCTCATAGGCCCCGGTAGACCCTGATAGACCTCATAGGCCCCGGTAGACCCTGATAGACCTCATAGTCCCCAGTAGACCCTGATAGACCTCATAGGACCCAGTAGACCCTGATAGACTGCAATTAGACCCTAATAGTCCCTGACGCCGCAGACTAGAGCGGCTGTGGGACGAAGAGGTGGGCCGAGTGGGGTCTGCGAAGGCGTCACTGCAGCGCGTCGCCTGGAGGTTCATCCGCACCAGGGTCTACCTCGGTCTGACGCTCTTCGTGGTCTCCCTTGTGCTGGGCTTTGCTGGGCCTGTAAGTTACCCTCGTGCTGGTCTGTAAGTTACCCTCGATGGGCCTCCCTTTCGGGAGGCGGGGATTTGGTGATTGCCGATTTGGTCCCATGATGGGACGCACTCCAACCGCACGCAGGCCGGCAACATTTGGAGCAGCCATGCAGGAAACCTCTAGTTTCAGCCCTACAGGTAGATAATTTCAATGCTAGATGCAGATAGGCCAGACTGCAAAGCATGACAGAACATAGGTTGAGGACACCATTTTTCTAACCAAAAGATGGCAAGGCAAACCTATATAGACTGTATAGACAGTGGATGCCAAAGTCACCAATATCCATAAGTGACCGGACGCCAAGAATGCCAAAATTGATAGTGAGCAGTTGGCGCCTGAAATTCTGCGTTGTACCTGTTATAATTCGAACATTATAAAAAAATTTAAAAAATGGTAAACAGAAAATGACACTACGACCTTGGTGGTTACTGGTAGGCATCAGCTAATAAGATACCTAACAAGGAAGCACTACAGTTAAAGAGTGGGCTTTGCAAAACACATCTTGCATCATGACCTAGTAAATTTGACTAGTGAGTTATGCACCTAATGCAGCTGAAACACTTCTTCCCAAAGGTCTACTGTCTAAGAATATTAAACAAACAACAGGTAACAGCAAAATGAACTAGAAACCAATGTGGTTAAATATCTTTTGGCAGTTATCATCAAGCATGCCATGTTTGTTATTGAACTGTCAATGCAGTGAAGCTAAAAAATTAGACTGGACTCTCAAACGTCTATACAATTCTTTCAAGGAGGTTTCAATTTTCCTCTGACTCCAAGAGTAATGAATAATATTAATTTCAATGACCCTTGCACAATACTGTCTACATACTCAAATATCTGAAAGATACATTGACCTCACGCCTCACGGTGCAATAGATGCATTTGTGATTTACGTGCTGTTGATCTCAAAGCTTCTTGCGCAATGTAGTACGGTACCCAAGAACTTCAATGATTGTAGGCAAATTCTATCCACCATAATTAGCCCTATTTGATCAAATTTACAGCTGAATAGTGCATGCCAACAACATTTTTCCCAACATTTTTGTGATTGAGGTACCACTTAAAAACTGCATATAATTGCCTTGTTTCATCTCAAACTGTATATTGTATCTATTCACAAACAATATTTTTATTGTCTAAATACAAATTTTATTGGTTTCAGTGGGTGTTATATATAAATGATCATAACTATTAGTTTGCCCATTTTTATTGAATTAAATGTAAATTGTGAGAAATCATGGATGCTGACAATTTTTCATATGAAAATAAGGACTCTCATGCTATTGTAAATATGAATTTGGCTGAATTAAATTCAATGCCTCTAGCATTGGAAAATGAACCAGTGGATAATAAAAAAGGAAAATATCATCAAAACCTGAACAACGTGACTGAAGATGCTGTTAATGCATCTGATCTTCAGGAATCAGAAATTAACCAACTGCTGCCTCACTCCAGTTTATTGGAGCATCACTCCAAGGACTTGCCTGAGTCTGGAGAAGATGCTGAATGTTCTGTGGATGATGCTCTAGATGAAAGGTAAGTTGACCGCTCATCTTCAATCCTAAATTAATTTGTTGCAATATTTTTGTGCAACTTAAGTGTTTTGTATTCATATTTTAATTCCATTTGTATCCTACAGCTGCATGGGCCTTGAAGGAACCTTGGAACGAGGCTTCTCTCTGCAGGAACCTAGTCCAAGTAATGATGCTGAAAACTCTAGTTTTCAATAGATCACTTAATTTCCCCTAAATTAGGTAGAATTGATGGTAAATATACATTTACATGTGTTTATATTTTGATACTATGTTTTATAGTTAAAATATGTGTCTACTGTCAAATTTCTACTTGGTTTGTCATTAATAGATGAAAAGTAGTTAGTAATTTAAACATTTATATACATGCTTTCAAATTCATTTAGATTTTTCTTATCCATCTATGATAAAAATATTTGTTCACTTAAAGAGAATTTTTGCACACTGGCAGTTGGTTAGCAATAGACATTTGACTTCCTCTCTTCTGAAAAAGTTATGGAAATTTAAGTACTTATTTATAGCAGATGAAAATGAGAGGCCAGTGCTTTATGAGAAAACCAAAATGAGTTACTCACACGAGCCTCGCATCTTCCAACGGTACAAACCCACACTCAAGCATCTCATACCCGTCAGGACAGACACATGGTAAGTGCATGCCTTTGAATATTTTTTTGGTTTGGTTTTGTTCAATAATTTTTGGTCATTTTGATATTTTAAAATTTTATAAATTTTCAAAACCTATATAATAAAATCATTTTTATATATGTGCCAAAGATTGCATTGCTATTAAAAGATAAAAATTGCATGTGTGGTCCAGCAAAAGGTGGTCCTAAAATTTCCAAATATAATGAATAATCCAAAAATATTGAAAGAATTTGTTGATGTTTGCAATAATCATGCCTTCAGAATATTCTTATTTATTTGTATATTTCTTGCAAGAATATCTTTAATAAATTCCTGGTAAGATCTATGAGTTGTATGTTTCTAATCTTGTGTGTTAAACATTATTTCATGTATAAATATAGTATTGTCTTCTTGTGGTCATGACTGCAAATATTTTAAGTACCAAGCTTTTCTGATTTGATTATTTCTGAATTCCAAAAAGCTGACCGGAAGTCTACAAAAAATTATTTAGAAAAAAATTGTTTATTGTCCTGTTTCTCTTAGTGCCAATATTCATATAAATAATTGATCATTATTTATAATGTCATATGTATGAATGTGTAGCAAATGTCACATGTAGAAATTTATATAGGTGATTTTATTTTGTTAAATTAGAGTAAAATTTATATGATACATTACAGTATCTTTTATTATGAGGCAGTAAAAAAATACTTCTACTTTGACTGCAAATCATAAACCTTTAGCAATTTTATTTTACTTTATAGATTATGTTGTTATGTCTATGTACAATGCTTCAATGGACCAGCTTTATTAATTGCCTTTTTCAATGATTCATTAACCATGTAAAGACAGTAAAATTATGGACCAGGTTTATTAATTGATATTTTAAATAATTCAACTAACCATGTGCAGTGCAAGCCACGAGATGCCCGTAGATGCAACAGGCATGCTGAGCTACACGATGTACTCGTGGGTGACGTCACTGATGTGGCGCGCCTACAAGCGTGGCCTGCAGAGCAGCGATGTGCCCATCTGCTCCAAATACGACATGTGTCACTACAACACACAGAGGTGCTGTGTGTTGTGTGTGCTGTGTGATGATCTGCTCCAAATACGACATGTGTCACTACAACACTCAGAGGTGCCGTGTGTNGTAGAAAGAGCGTGGTAGCGTTGAATACGCTATTTAAGCCTATCGCAGATTCTCAACCACCCAACGACCTTGTCGATTTCGACCAGAATTTTCACAACTAATTTCAGGCTTTGAAATTCCTTGCTACTCTAAATCTGTCTCTTATACACATCTAGATGTGTATAAGAGACAGGTGCTGGTCTGTAAGATACCCTCGTGCTGGTCTGTAAGTTACCCTCGTGCTGGTCTGTAAGCTACCCTCGTGCTGGTCTGTAAGACACCCTCGTGCTGGTCTGTAAGTTACCCTCGTGCTGGTCTGTCAGCTACCCTCGTGCTGGTCTGTAAGACACCCTCGTGCTGGTCTGTAAGCTTTTTGTAAGTTTTCTTTGCTTTTATATTCTTATCTAACTTGCGTCTTTCGCAGATCAAAGACATAAGTAGTGAAGTATTATATGTCTATAGTGGGTGGAATATTTTATTGTTAATTTAGTGACATTATCCACGTCCCTTTCGCTCCCTCACCCCCCTCTAGCCCTCATCTGACGCCCCCCCTCACGCCCCCCCTCACACGCCCCCTCTCACTACCCTCTCACGCCCCCTCTCACTACCCTCATACGCCCCCTCTCACTACCC